CGGGATGCCTCCTTTCTTACATACAGTCAAAAGAGAGCCAGGTCTGAAAGGCGAAGCTCGACTACTGGACACAGTGGGGAGAAATGTGCTGCACCCTCAGAAGACGAGCCGGAAGAATTCGAGACACCATTCCTTTGAAGCCCTTAGAGACGTAGGATATACTCTACTATGCCCCAAATATACTTGGCACTGCATGAGGCCCCCTAAAACCCACTACACCTCAAAAATGCCTCCCCGGGCGGCTGTTCCAAATCTTGAGCCCCGAGGCCGAGGCGTTTAGATGAGTTCAGCCCGGAGGCCTGGCATCCATATACAACCCCATATAACCCCCTTAAATTCCCTCTTATACAATTTCCTATAAAACCCCTACTATATGGTCCTTATATTATAACCCCTATAGAAAATGAGCAGCCAGCCTCTGGTATTTACAAGCACTGGAGCAGATGTGTGTTTTAAGAGTCCTGGTCCTGGTGGTATCTATAAGTGAGTTGTAACAACACTATGGTTCTTCTTCTAGGGAGGAAGGAGAGGCATGAATGTCTAGGAATGATGGGAAGCATGCTTGTAAGGCAAGTAAGAAATTGGCAATTGGCTACAGCCCCATGGAATTAGAACCCGATTCAGGACTTGAAACTTATTCATCCCTCCTTAACGACTTGAGGTGGGATCTAAGCCTTGAGGCTACTCAGGGATGGCCGCCAGCGTTGTCCCTGTTCCACTTTCGCACAAGAGTCAACACGCTTGTCATCGCAAGTCTGAACCGTGGCATTGAGCGTGTTGGGGAATCTGGACCCGGAGCCCTCGGTCCCTGCCTACAAGCCCTGGGACAGGAAGTCACGAGCATGGACAGGAGCTCAGATGTAATTTGGAGTTTCGCTTCAATCGTGGTATTTCCTCCCAAGCTTTTAGATCTGAAGCTCCTTCCAGGTCTACTCGTTCGGAAAGCTGAAGTATGCGCCGGATGGGAAATTGCTAGAGGCCATGGGCGATTATGTCTCGTCCTGAGCCCTGCGCAGCCAGAGTTCAGAAGAGCAGAAAAGCCCGACGCCTTTTAGCAGCACTGGCCGCATGGAGTCTTGTCATGCTACTTACGGTGTTGAGCTTGGTCGTGACGCTAATGGGCCACAGGCTCTAGATAGTCTCTTTGGCGCATTCTGCTGCTTCAGCTTTGGACATTCTCAGCGAAGGTCATCGACAGGCTGGATGATTTCAAGCCCGTCCAGCTGGCAAAAATTGCTTGAGCCTCAGGGGCATGCCGAGGACAGGAACTTGCCTGGAAGTAAGGTGTCCATGTAATGTATGTATGTTACGACAAGACGCACTTCCTCGGTGTTTCCACGTTCCCGACATTCCTGCAAAGTGTTGCCTGCTCTTCTCCCTTTTTGTAAAGCCAGCAGATGCAAGCCTCCAAAAAAAGCGTGGCCCTTTGGGGGGGAAATCTCCTACTCTTTTTCGGCTTATATCAAAGAAGTAGAAATCCGTGCACAACCTAATTGCTGGTCTTGCCTGTGCAGGGACCCTATCTGCGAATGTCTCCCTGCAGTCTTCGAATATGGACATCCCTTATTTCGGTATGTCCAAAAAGATATTTCACTTTAATTCTAGAAGGTTTGGAAGGCTTTTCCGTGCAACCACAGGGCTTCCTGGTACCTTGCATGGCTGGCCTGCAGGTTGCACGAAGGGATACTTGCCCAATTGGAGATGCCATATGCGCAACACAATTATTGCGCCAAATGAGCTACAGTCTAAACTCCCAAAAGGGGGTTATTTAAGTGATTGTACAGGGGAGCATTCTGGGCTATCATCGCAGCTCAGGCCGTGGCGGCTTGCGAGCTAGATTTTGAGAAGAACAGGCCATCCAGGGCAGAGTCCTGGCATGGGGAGAACACGCAAATCTGAGTTCTAGGGACACTTAATCCCCTTGAATATTCCCCCCTAATCAGTCTTGGTATGATATTGGTGCATGTAGGACTAGGGGTGGTTACCAAGTATGCTGCAAGCATCCTGTACTTCTTCAAGTCTCTAAGCCGTAGAACGTTGTGGTCCATTTTATCCCTTTGAAGGTTGATTCGTGTAGGCTTTCTAGCCAGCGATATGAACTTCGGGCATAGAGGGTGAAACTGCATGCCCCAGCTTACTGTTGATGTCTGCCAAGTACCTAGACATATCTAATTAACTAGACTGTTTCCTGACCTCTGCGGTTCTTTCACTGTGAGATCGAAAGAAAGTTGCATGCATGGCTCATACTTGTAGATGCTTGCGAATGTGCCTGAAAAGTTCAGAAATCCATAGCCAGTCCCCCTCAGTTGAGGACTTGACGTATCGGTATAGTATCCCATTGCAGCCAACATGTTTGTGACGCTGTGAGGCTCATGTTCGTGCTTTGGAATCACATCGCGAGGCCAGGCTATGGCAACCTTGAGCTATAGCAGGCTTTTTTTGCGGAAGTTGGCGGCGTCGGATTTTGAGTTTGCCTTTTCAGTTCAGTGGTTTGTTGCGATGCTCTGGCTTTGATTGCTGGAACTCTCCAGATGCCCAAACCTGTGCGTCATCCTGAGGAACATTAAGCGCTTCTCGATCCACCAGATCCTACTTTTGGCCGGCGCCCCAACAGCTTCAAGGCCATACGTCCACCCTCCCAGAGACCATTCAACTTTCTTCCTGTGAGCCCTTACACCCGGACCTAGAGCCGCCGCAATCTCCTGACCGCAAAGGCTTACTCCATGCAAGATGACCTTTTGAAGGGCGGTGGTAACTGAAGCCGGAGCAGCCCTCACCTGAAGCGTATGCCCGAAAGCTTTGGGCTTTCAGCTGCCGGCTTCGTTGGTTGATAAGTTGAGGCACAAACTCCAAAGCACCCTTCACAACACTTGGAAGGCCCTTGTGTAAACGAATGTACTTGCATAACTTCTGTGAGCTGCATGAATCGGCATATCTCCATGCGCTGAATGACTGACAGACAGACAGTTTGACTGACTGAGCGTGTTCTTCGCCATCAGGGTCGCTAGAGCCTCTTATTGTGTTCCTTGCTCCAGCTCCGGTAGCCCACTTCAGGCCCCTACCCATTCTGCAGGATTCCCTGTTTAGTTTGTTTATTGGAACAGAACATGGAAACTATGGTGAATGTAGGAAATCTGGCAGCACCTTATGTACCCCATACCCCGATAAGTACAGTGATTATTTTGGGGATCCTAACTGGTGCAAAATTTCCTCCATCCGCCATATCACGGGCAAACTAGCATTTTAAAATGCAGTTTGTAATGCCTCCCCCATCATGTGACAATGCTCCTGCTAAGGTGAGGACTGCAGCGCAGGTCAAGCTGAAGCACATGAAGTTCACAAAGGTTCAGACCCGAGCTCAACCCCTCAAATCATAAGCCTCAAATAGGAACCGCCAGCATGAAGTCCCTCTATCACTGTTCGCTGTACAATCCTCGTTCTGATGTGCCTTCTAATCTCCATGAGCCTCCGAAACTCTCACAGAAACCCCTCCGTGCTCCCGCAGAGGGACCGTCCAAATCCTATGGCCCTCTACAAGCTTTACATACCTTTGTGGTTCTACGAAATCTCAATAAATAGTGCATCACAAGATGCACCACAAGACGAGCCCCACTTTGGATTGTCTCCATGGCAAGAGCTGAAGAAGTCTGAGGGCGGCTGTTTGGGGATCTCGGTTTATGGGAGAACCTAGAGCGCAGGGAGCTTCATTCCTGAGCTAGACGCTTCCACTAGCAGTACTTCGCAAGTTTTTGTAGGTGTAACTTTCACGCAAAGTTTGATATCATGCCGTTAGGCTGATCTGCCGTGTCAGCTGCTCTCTTTGTTTCAGGGGATTTAAGGGACGGCAGACCTTGAGTTTTGCTATCATTGCTACCTCTGACGGTGTGTAGCTTCGCAAAAAGAAATCTTAAGTTCTAGTGCAGGCACACTCATATATCATCATAGTACAACCCGCAGGAGCTTTTCGTCGTCATGTCTTTCCTGTACGAACGCTTAGATATGTGGAGGTTGGGTGAGCGCTTGAAAAGTGCTCATAAGCAGCGTTCCGGTGATCGAAGGGGATGGAAGTTGGAAAACAGGTTTCGGCAAGTTGCGGGGACAACCTCCATGCACACGAAATGCGATGCTGCGGACACCATGCTCACATTGGGGTACGGAGGTAGATGTGCAGGTCCACAAAACCCAAATCCCTAAATTTATGTAAATCTGAAATCTGTCAGAGCATATCTCTTTTGTGCAACCTCTATGTCTTCGCCTTGGGATCATCTGTTCCCAAAGCACTGGCAAAGCTGGCTTAGGCGGCCACCAGCGAGGTGATGAGCCGACTGAAAGATCTGGGTCGAGCTCGGGGGCCCAGCTGAGCATGGCCCATGATCAGGGTGTCTCTATATGGGGTTGCCAGGAAATTGCCATACTAGGGATGATCATCATGGGGTTCCCTCTTTATGCACATGGGCGTCTCAGTACAATATATACCCCCTGGAACATTTGAGCAAATCCCGAGCAGTTTCGCGTTTTTACTTGTTGGGCATTCTGCTGACACACCGGCTCTTTCCGGCAACGTCGCGTTTTTGACTCCCAGCCATGGTCCCGTACCCATTCAAAGTGGGCTTTTGTCTCACTGTCGCCTGTCATGTAGAGATCATGGGGAACTTTTCAAGCCAGACTTCTGAAAGAGGGATCCTCTGTGGTGGCTCTAAATTTTCAGGGTTTGTTTTCTGGGTTCTTACTGTGCGAATCACAGCGTCGAGTGTATAAATTGTCTCTTGATCAGGGCGATAGCTCCTTTGTTTTGAGACATAGCCACGTCACTGTTCGTGATGGCTTCAGCTTCCCGCAAACCTTCAGCACTGCAGCATTTTGCTCAAAGACAGCAACCTTCTGGGCTTTGCACGCCTTGCTCAACAAAGGTAGCCAGCTGCTATGTTATGTAACTATCATCACTCATCAGAGAAGAATTCATCATCTACGGACCCTGGACCTGTGCTTTCCTTGCTACTATGGGGCAGTGCACCAGCGTCAAAGCCAAAGGCGACAAGTACCGGCCACTGGGCGAAGGGCTTCGCGCCAAGGTGCTCCCTGTGTACATAGGCAGGTGCTTCCAAACCACAGAAGACTGCCTTGTCCTACAAGTCTACAAAGCCAACCTCTACATGCTTAAAACGGACCATATGCTCATGATGATGATCATCATCATTGCTACAGCAGCAGCAGCAACTACTACTGATATGGTCCTCTTCCCGCTCCTGCTGCTAGACCATCACTTACACCGCCGCTGCCACCACGGATCACTGTGCTGAAAGATTACCACACAATCAGTACATCTATTACTACCATTACTACGGCTTCTACTGCTGGTGCTAATATAGCTGCTAGCCGCAACTACAGCCAGGACTGCCAGTACTGTCGTCTCGTAGTTGAAATCATTATCTGAACAGCCACCTGGATTTAGGGCTCAGGTGGCCACCTTCCCGGAGACGGCATCAACGTGGGCCTCTGCGCTTCGGGCGGAGGTGCTCGAGCAATGTCCTTCACAACCGGAGTCTATCGAGCGCTGAATGAGTTGAAGCTTCTGGATCAGCTGGATGCTATCAGCTCGGTCTCGGGTGGGACATGGTGCTCTTCCATTTTCATGTTTGCCAAGGACTTCAAGGGTGATGCGATTGATACCGCAGAGTTATTGGGAAGGGCGACGACCCCGTCAGAGTTGACCATGGAGGCGCTGCGAGACAACCTAGTCCCAATTGTATCAGGAATCACCAATGCCGATTCGAGTGACTTCATCAGCGCAATCTTGAAAGAATACAAAGGAAAAGAGCACGAGGTGTGGCCCAAGGTGATGTCGGAGTGGCTGCTGAGGCATTTTGATGGTTTGGAGAGCTTTGAGGCATACATCGCCAAGGAGGAGGATGTGAAGCGAATCAAGGAGGACAACCCCCAGCTGGAGAAGAAGCGCTTCTTAACTCCCAGGCCTGCGTCAGTCTTTTGCTGACACAAACTGCTTTCTGGGAGGTGTGTAGACTATTCATGAGTACCCCACAGTACCCCAGCAACAGAATGTGGTGTGAGGAGCGATCGACCTAAGAATTTCATCATGAATGGCTGCTCCCTGGCCCCACTGTGCCTGGGCCCTCCTTGCAAATCATTCACAGTTGTTCATTCAGACCGGGGCGTAGGAATAGACATGGCCCATCCTAGGGATCCTTCAACATTTTTTGGGATGTGTAAGGGGGACTGCTTCTGATCAAGCAGTATTTTTTTCGTGACCCTAGTGATGGTCTAGGAAGTACAACGCGACCACGGAGAATGTGGTGTCCTTCCAGATGTGCCCCGATTTCACAGGAAGCCCCTTCTACCCCGAGAACAAACAGGCCACTGGGCAGCTGATTAAGTTTGCCTGTCACGAGGCCACTTGTGGATTCAGGCCAGGTGCTTTTCAGTTGTCGGTGCAGTGGCCTGCCGGGTTTGTCTTCATGGACAAAATTTGTTTCAGAGTGCGGCCGCATTTGTATGTACTAGTATCGTGTAGCGATGGTTGAAAAGTCCTACGGCATCGTATGTAACCCCGAGAGCTGCAAACACTGGCTTGCAATGGAACATCAGCAACTTGTGACTGGGTCAAGAGATGCGAAGACCATGAATTTTCGCAGCTATCAGTGGAGGGACGACGGTGCAAACATGGTTCGTTGCAGTATGGAAGGAACAACCTCTTCGTAAAGAGAGCGTGCTTTGCGTGCATTGCTCTATGCGCCAGGGCTTGGAGATGCAGTAGGAGAACTGCTAGCTTAGACTAAAGCGTGTGGTTTGTCTGGGTGTCAAAGTAGAATGCAAATGAAACTCTTCATAGTCCGGGGCAGGGATAGATGACTCGCCCGTATCCGCATGTCCTCAACCTAAAAGAAATCGCCCAGACCGCCAGAGGAGACCAGCCAGGATTCCTCATGCTCAGGGCAAGACAAAAGGTGGGTGAGGTAGAGTGTTGGGGCAGCAATGCAGGTCAAATACGATATGGCGTCCATCTTCCCGTGCAAGGACTTTGGACTGTCTGGATTTCGGTCCATGACTCGTACTATGGGAGGACCCAGACTTGTTTTCAATGTCCGTATCACACTGACCTGAACGTTTTGCCACGTGGCATGTGGAAAGATAGTTTTCTGTTGTGGGGCTCCAAGGTTCAGGAGCTGCTGCACACAAAACCGCGACATCCCATGAAATCAGCAAGCTATAAGTCTACAAGCTTTGATCCTAAGTCTCCTAAGTCGTGTTCACTCAGGGTTCCCGCTCGAAGGAGGATTCACAGAGACCTTCGCGTTTGGTGGCCCTGCTCCACGAGATCAGACAGGAGGCGGGGCAAAGCAAAGGCGTGGCATTTGAAACCCTCGGCGAATCCACAGCACGCCACCCCAAATAATAAAGGGGAAGCCCTTAAGAGCTCCAATTTATTCAGGAAGAAGGAAGCTTTTGGCAAGGCGAACTTCACTGGGCACAGAGCCAACCTGGTAGCACGCCTTTTTGAAGCCACAGGTTTTGGGAGACTAAACCCTACCCCCAAGGCCTCATCCATGAAGCTCAAGCCACAAGCAAGCCTTCAGCCATTTCTTCCAACATGTTTTCAAGCTGTAGAGCCCTGACGCGTTGCTGGTAGATCTGGTGAGAGCCTAGCTGAGAAGGAAGACTATCAAGTTGATAGAATTTACATGCATGCAGGGATCCGGGATCATTACCATGCTCCCAGGATGAAGGTCTCATTTCCTCAACATTCTCTGAGGTCATCTTGCTTTGAAAAAGTCACAGCTCAGGTGAGAAGTGTGTGATGGGAGAGCCCAGCACTCCCTTTTCTTTGCCGTATGCCGTGGGAATCAGCAGCTGGGCAGCTGGCGGAGCCTTGAACCAGGCGAGGAGGAAGACAGGATCGAGGGCTGAGGGCTTCCTACCAAACTGGAACTCTACTCGCATCACCCGAAATAACAGAGACGGTAAAACGAAGACCTGAAACATGATAAGGGATTGTTACACAAAGCGATCATCAAAACGGGGGGTTGGGGACCTTACGCTCTCAACATAAACCTGAGAACACAGAAACCTCAGCCGCTGAACTCTCAGCTCTGAACCTTTTTTTGTTTTGGAGTTGGGGCTTCGCCTGTGCCCTGCAGCAGGTCAGAGCCTTGGGGAACTTGATGCTGGGCTGCAGCCAGTAAGCGCAGGATGACAATTTTCAAGGAGGCACTTGGCGTCTAGGAAAGGCTCGTTTGATGCGGCGTCTATATGAGAAAAAGTTTTCAAGGCTTTGAATCTTGAAGAGATTCTGCAAGCTGAGGCGAGAGGAGAAACAAACCTCAATGATGGTACCACTGATTGGATTCCTAAGTCCAGGAGGGATGACAAGTCGCTACTGAGTAAAGACGCCACCATCTAGAATATGGTTGATGGGGACCCAGGAATCCTGGAAAGTATTGAAACAACATTCTGTCGAATACCATCTGAGAAGAGCCTCGTGCAGCCAAGGGTCAACATTCGCAAGGACCGCTTGGAGTCGGATGCTCTGGGGGATGATGTAGGGTTTTCCGTGAATGTTCTCAGAAATTGTTCGTCAAGCTAAGCTGCTTGCCATCCCGCAGCACTCTGTGGGCTGTACTTACAACCGGCAATGTGAACGTGTTGCTGTATTCTGAAGCACGTCTTCAGATCCTCCATGATCACTGCAGTCCACTTTTGGTTCTTCCACTTTCCGGTTCTACGATCCGTGCGGGTCTCTTTTGCAACCTCAATCTTTGGCTACTACTGTCATTCATACGACTGTAGGACTACTGGCCCGTCACCTCCGAGATTCTCCCACACCGGCAAGAAGCAATTGCCTACCAACTGGGCGATGGCGGAGCCTTCAACGCAACAAATGGTCCAGGAGTTAGGACCCTGAGCCCCAAACCATCATGTAGGGCACCTTCACCTTTTACTAGGATTCAGACTCTGTCACAGCGAGGCCAGAGGGGTGTTCCAATATGAGCACTAATGCAAAGTATTATGACCCCACATCCTACACATTGCTTAGCAGACTTTTCTATGGTTTTCTTTGGAGCTCAGCAGAGGTTTCAGGCAAGGGTACTCATCACCTTCTGGCAGGGGATTCAGAGTCAACGGATGGGGGCTCAGGGACTAAGGGCTAAGGGTCGAGGGATGAGGTGCTGAAACTTTACACCTAGAGATTTGACTCTGCAGGGTTTGCAGCCAGGCTTTCTCGAAAGCAGCCTGGTTTATCATCAAACACTTCCAACGTTGCAGCCCAGACTAGCTTGCCCTTATCGTTCCTGCGCACAGTAACCTATGTCCAGGTATGGGTGGGGTCTCGCATTTGGAGCCTGTAGTTTCACGTGAGTGCAGTTTCGCTCCCAGGGTCGCTAGACAACGCTGGTGTGCTGGCGCTGCTTCAGCGAGGAGCACGCAAGGTGGGTGCAGCTTTCTCCGTTTGGTGTAGCGTTTAATCCTTGGTGTGTAAGGTTTGGGCATCCTCTTGATGGCCATAGTGCTTATGTTTGACGGCACGACATTCGGGGCATTTAGTGGGAGAGATCCTGCAAACTGCCAGCTACCCACCTCCGTAGACTGGACGCCAAGCCAACCCTTGTAACACCGCAAGTTGGTGCTGTGGCGGGATTTTTCCTCTCCTGTCAGAGGTCTACACCATCCCCTTTAGCTGCAGGCTTGTGCTGGCTGCTGTACGCACTTGAAGAAAATGAGCTTACCTTGCCAGTGCCTGTCGCTGGAGTCTACTAATTTTGATGGCGCTCTGAAGGACGTTCCCAGATTCGGCAAGCTCACGTTTCCTGAACACCCAACTTCTTTCTGTTTATGTGCTTGGTTGGGTGACCCAAGAGACTGCCTGAACAGAATCCAAGGTATTTGCACTGGACCTTTCGAGGGAGGATCCTTGCGTTCATGTGCAATGTTGTGTCGCTATACTCATTGGAACAATCGATTTGCTTAGCCCTTGCAATTAGCAGATAAGAGCGGTGCGGCATACTATCCCGCAGCTGCATGTGTGACTAGCGTTGTTGATATTCCTGCGTTGCCAGGTGATCTGGATCTGTTCCTCGTGGACAGACTTGAAGTCGAGTTACGATTCTGGGCCGATTTTGACTTATGCTGCAAGACCTTTCTAATTAGCCGTGAACATATGTACGGGCAATAGGCATTCATCTTTAAACGTAAGCCAAGAGCAGAGTTTTAGCACCTTGTAGCAAGCGTAATACGGGGTGAGCTTCTCTTTGAATTCTGACTCGGAGCCATTTCCTCCCACAATCCGTGTATTCTGGCATCCCTGGCGGTATTCCCATTTTGTGAACAACCCATACCATTGTATTGCTACAGAATTGCATTGGTACATCGCTTATATTCCAGTTATTACTATTATTCTTAATATGGGTGGTTGTCAAAATTAGGGTCCCTTTTTGGGAACTCTAAATACTAGGTGCCATATTATAATAGGGATCCAAAAAGGGACCATAATTTTGACAACCACCCATATGATTACTATTGTTACTAATTCGTGGCTGCAGGATTGGGCTGGGGCCACTGCAGAGACCTTCAACCCGCAGGAGGCAGGCGTGGCAGACCAGGCCTCGCAGGGTTCAAGATGGTTTGGGGTTCTGGGTTTATAGTCCCCCTTAAGTAGATAGAATATGGGGTATGTGGGGATCTTATTATAATCTACCCAAAGGCATATTCTATCTACTTAAGGGGGACTATAGGGATTTGTGGCTTAGGATTTAGGGTTTAGGCATTGGGGTTCAGAATTTTGTATTTTTTTTAGGGGGTCGGGGCGTCAGGTCTGCGAATTCGGGTTGGGATTTGAGCTGTTGGGATTAGTTTTGGGTGATTTTGTGGGGGAACGTGTTGAGGAGGCCAATGAACTGGGTTCTACATGCGCTCAGTTCCCCTCATGCGGGAAATATGAGAGGATTCTTGTAGGGACTGTAGGCGTCATGCAGGATTACTTGTTTGTATGTCAGCATGTGTTTTTTTTGCCGAATGCTATCCTTATAATTGTCGTCAGTTTTGGACCGTCTCTGTTACGCATGAAAAGTCCAACAGTCACAGGGAGGGGGCTCCTTGGGGGTTTGCCATCCTCGTAAACATTCAGGTTCGTGGACTTCCAGGGGTTTGGGGTTGAGTGTCTTCAGGGCTTTGCATTCAGCAACACCAGACAGCAGCATTGCTGATATTAGTTGTTGCAGCTGATGAAGATGTTCCCCTCGCGGTGTGTCTGCTGTTTCTGACACTTTTGCCTGGCAAGGTCTTCTGCACCTTCGGCTATGATTCCAGTGCACTGGGATTCTTCTACTCCCACAACCAGGTCTTTGAGAGGGATCAGTGTTTCCCTCTTTGCCAGGACGGATTGCTGGACTCCAGACCTTTTGTGCAAAACTGCTGAGCCCTCGCCCAAAATTGTTGTTCTGGTTGTGATTCCAAACTCTTTCGTGGTATCTTTTTCAATGACAATTCTCCTTTTTTTTGCGGCCATTCTGCATATTCTTGTTATCCTGAACCCTTAAACTCCCAGGGCCCGTTCCTCAACCCCTAGTCCCAAGCCTTTTTTTCCAGGAGATAAAGGCCTTCAAGAACCAGGGGAAGCCGGCAGTGGTGCACAAAAAGCTGGCGGTGCTCCCCAACAGCTGGTGGGGCATCACTGGAGGCTCTTTGGGAGACACCGGCCGAGATTAGGGTTTTTTGGGGGGGTCTAGGCTTTTAGTAGGGTTTCCAGATGCTCTCAGTAGCACTGCGGATCTGTCACGCCCGCATCCCAGGTTGTAGAGGTAGTCATTGCTTCGGGGTCTTGAATTTTGGAGAGGAAATATCTGATTTGCGTCCGCTCCTCCACTCAAGAGAGTACTGACCCTGAATCTCTGGAAATTGTAAAGGGTCGCCAACACCAGAAACCTTCAGTTTCCCACAAAGACTTTGTGAACCCAAGAGAAAAGAGACCACCGAAACCTTTGCTTCGCTTGCCAGGGTTCTCAGCGCGGTGATGGGCCTAACCCTGGTAGACTACGCATATGCAGCTTTCACCCAAGCAAAGCCACGAGGATCTCTACACGGAGTAGGGTTTTAGACCTCCAAGGAAAATTGGACAGGGTTTGCTGATGACAGAGTCTCTGCTATTTGGATGTTAGGCCCAAAATTAGTGCAAAGAGGCTGTAGATTCCCATTGTCTCTCCTTGTTCAGGCTATGAAGTTGATCTCTTGCTCATCTACTTGGAGAAGAGCAGAGAGTTCGAGGCACTTCTCCCTCAGGAAACGCAGCGGGAGATTGCAAAAGGGGATCAAGGACTGGCATGCTTTACTGCTTTGAGACTTCTTGCTGAGGATTATCTCTATCACAGGTAATGCGTACACATGTCAGGAGTTCCTTGCTGTGACTTACTTCAGAATCGTGACCTTTCTTTACTTAGGATCACTAACAGGAGCCTTCGCCAACTATCCCATCTACAAGACCACGAGCCAGAATGAAGGCGACATCCTCGGCCTCACTGCCCAGCAGTCGCACCTGTTGGCTGCCCAAGCGGAGCCTCGTTGGCACAAGAGTTTCAAACACAGGGCCGTTGATTCGTGGATAAGTTCCCAGAACAGGCTTGGTAGCCAGCAGCTACTGTAGTATGGTTTGCGCAGCAGTCAAGTGTACAGTATTCGGCCTCATGACGTTTTCCCTTGTCAGGGCAACAGGAATTCCCCTGTTTGTTCTGAAAACTGAGGAGTACAGTGTCAAAGAAAACGAGGAGCTCTTCCGCAAACTGCTGAGCTAGACTCTAGCTCGCTGAAAACGCGTATCCGCTGCGACCGCGGCTTCCTCTCATTTTCCAAATTTGAGTTTTGATACTTGGATAGCTGACCACACATCTCACACAATTTTAGCTAGATGGAGTGGCAGGCAGCATGGTAATGAGCAGAGTCTTGCATTAGAGTACGCACTGGTTCCTGCTTTGGGGGCTCAATGGTGGATGCAGATTTAAGCCAAAGTTATGTTGAGATTTTGGTGGTGTCCTCGCTGCTGGGCGCTTGTAAGGATGCACTTCTTCAGGGAAGCTGCAACTGGCTAAACGGGTTACTTTTGGAGGGGCACTCATGCCATCAATATAGCCCTAATAACGCCTCAGCATGCTATAGTAGTTTTCATTTTCTTTTCCTTTATCTCTATATAACCCAACACAATGTCTAATGTTTTGGCTTAGGCTCCAAGACTTGTGAAAGCTATCCGCATCGCACAGTATGGGCCTTTTACTTCGGCAGCAGAAGACTGCTGAAAGTGGCCTGCGTTTTGAAAAAGTTGCAAGCAGTGCGCCAGCTTTGTTGCTCAATATCTTGGCTCCCTTGTTGCTCATACGGGGCTCTGACAGGGTTTTTCACTTGCAGAGGGGATGCTCCTAATTTTGAGCGCCAGGCTGTTTTTCCTGGAATGCTTGCAGGTGATAATGCACGTGTTTACAAGCCCAACTTTCCCACATCCTCAACCATCTCTCACGGGAAATGCAAGCCGCCAGCTGTCAAAGATTCGTATATCAGGAGAAGCCAAGAATGACAATAATATCCTCCGCTGGAAAACGGAAAATCCTAAACCTTGCGCTGAGGATGCGCGGCTGAGCCAGATCATGGACAACCTGAAGATCCTTCAGAAGGTGGCAGGTGCTTCTCCGGAGTTGCGGGTGTGACAGCATGCTTTTGGTGCATTCAATTGGCTTGGACCATGCATAGGGGCGACAGCATGCCCTGGCTTTGAAGGAACAGCACGAAGCATTTTGGGCGTGGCGATTGCAGCTTCAGGGTTAGCAGCGGTTTGAAATTGAGGTGCTGAGGTCATGTTGAGCTGCGCTGTATGTCTAATCAATAGCATAGGCATCCCCATACGAGTGTCCACGCAGAGCCCTCCCAGCAAAGACGTATCCCATCCTGACATCCCCTGAAAAAGCGTCAAACATTCTGAGAATTCGACGCCTGCGAGAGGCAAGTCTGCGAAAAGCGCGGCAGCCAGCTCTGAAGCGTGACCAATATTAACATCTCCGATGCAGCAAGCTAGGCTAAGCCCCCCACTAGGTTAGGAGTCGATAAGTAGGGACCTTATCACACTTCTTCTGGACAGGGCTGATACCTCCATCATGATTCTGGTTCTTGAAAGTATGGGTAGGATGTGGTAGGATTGGGTGGAGGTTTCAGGATTTTCTTAATCCTTTTAGAAACACTATGTGGAGGGTATAGGAAGTACATGCCTTTTCTTTTGTTCTGCATGGGTATATCACAGGGACTACAAACGCAAGGTTCATCAGTTTATCATACTGTACTCACAGATGAGGTCTGAACGGTTGGCGAAAGCCGTGAGCATGTTGAGCTTGTAGGTTTCCATATTGTTACTAGGGTGCGTAGGTAGTTGGGTTGTACCGGCACAGCTGCCATGCTTTCTCTGGCCAAGAGGGCAGAGGAGCAGCCTGTCCTTGTCTTGATGGAACGACCCAGCATCCCCTGCTTCGGAGCTCAAAAGACTCGGCATGTGGTGTTGAGAAGCTTGCATCATCCTCATCCCATGCCTGTGGTATGAAATCCCTTCATACGACAATGTGCAGTGGCCTAAAGGTGGTTTGACTGGGTCAATGTATTACTTTTGTGGGGCATGCCAGTGTAACTGAACACTTTTGTAAGGATTGGAGCCCTTAGAATCAACAAAACTTGAAGTCTGACGCTCTGAATAACGGCCGCTGGCCAAGCACGGCTGCAAGAGCGGTAGCAACAAATATCAAGAATCAGCGCACCAGCAATCATCGTGTTAGGACAGTCCCTGGTGCCCTTCAGCCCTATCAGGCTCACATGCCAAGCCCTGTGCAAGCACACGAATCCCGCACAGATCCCAGAGCCCTCAACTGGGGAAGCTTTCAGATCTCTAGAATTGAGAAAGTTCTGCGCGCAAGTTTGGAGTTCCAGCTGTCCAGCCCGGACGCATCCGACTCTGGTGGGGAAAAGCGCGTGTATCTGTAGCAAACGTCTCTCAGCTTTCAAACGGCCATTTGGAACCCCAGTTCCTTGGGCCTGAAGAAGTTTTGGAGGCTGCAGCGCCGCAGCCTGTTGCTGCAGATGCTGATGAGGCAGAGGTGCGGAGCTTCAGGTACGAATTACAAAGGCATTACACGCCCGTCAGGGTGGGGTGGATCACGGGAGGAGGCATTACGAAACCACAGGGAGCCTTGCGGAGTAATAGTGGGCTTACTGCCCAACCACCCCTCTAAAGGACGTCGTGGACGTAGGTTGAGGGAGTCGGGCCAAGATTCGATCTTGCAGTTGGCTTTTTCATATTAGCGCCCTTCATAGTACGTAATCCCAGCTCCCTACACGTCTGTGAATACACGCTGGAAGTGAATCTGCATAGCGTTGCCACATCCTTCAGGACGATGACGGCGAAGCTGCTGAAGGTGCCGCAGGAGCCAAGAAGAAAAAGAAGAAGAAGAAGGCCCTGTTCCGGACATTCACAGGAATGTTGCCAATAGTACCGGTGCTGAGGCTACACGTCATAAGTTGCTGATATTGAAAATACAATATTCCGAGCAGATAAGAGCCACGAGAATTACAATATTGAGGTTGCATCACGGGAGTATTATGATTCATTGACACCAATGGCACTGTAATGTTTGGGGCTGGGCGGGTGTCTATGGCATCTCAGAGTCTAAGCAGCCTTGATTGTAAATGGGGGTGACCTTGGAGTTGTGAAGTGAGCTGCAATCCAGGGGCTCCGTCTGACTAGGCTGTGCCATCTCGGGGAGAGGGTTGACCTAGAAAGCATGTAGGAACGCAGAAGGGAGACTTGTCCACTGCTTGATGATTTCCGCAGCCGTGGCAGCACTTCCTCGGCGGGAAGAAGGCTACAACAGCTTACAACTTACGATGTGCAGCGAATCCATTTGTGAGTTCTGATGTTTGTCGTAAGCAGCTTCAAGCTGCTTGTGAAGCACGGCTTCTCTGCTTGAGGGTTGCTCTGGAGCTCGATGTGCTAATCATTCATATCTACATCTGCGCGACTGCGAAAGCTTGATCATCCTTCCGTCGATCCTGCGCAACTTGCCGCCTAAAGCTCCGAAAAGCAATGGCGCCGTTTGCCTACCTGAGCAAGGCGGATGCAGACGAGGCGTCACTGTACTTTGGGGGAAGTCTCGGCTATTGTTGGGTATCTCAGCTAGCCTCTTGCTGCCCCTGGCATCAGTGTAGAGAGGAGCCGCAAGAACCGTGAAGCTTTTTTTGATGTCGAGCCCAGGGCGTGGAGGTGGCAGAGGACGGCCTCAGTGCCGCCTGCAGCGCCGATGACGCCTGGTTGGGGCTTCGAGGTCGTCCCGGTGTGCTGAAAGGCCGGTCGCTAAGCCGTATAGCTAACCACACTTCTGGGCTTCTGCGGTGTGTGCTTTTATCCCTACTCGCATCATTATGAGTAATTACGATTCATTCTCAAAGCAAGAGGCTTTCGCAATATTAGAGGGGCAGTTTTTGAATGAGTTGTTCCCTTTTTTTCTTCCTCACTCTGCGAGGTGCCTATCAGTTTGAAGTGGAGTTGAAGAACGACTGCCTGCTTCGCCTGGGATGGGCCAGGGCCACAGATGTATACAGAATCCTTGGCACAGAAACAAACACCCAAACATTGATATATATATATACATATATATATATAGAGGTATATTTATATATATATATATAGATATGAACATATCTTCATACAGATACACGGAGACGTATATATACAGATAGATAGACAGAAAGATAGATGCATACATGCATGCATACATGCCTCTATATGTTCTCAAACATGTTGTAGGCGTATGCGCGGGAAGTAAGTATCCTTTCGACATTCATGTGCAATTTTGATATACACATGTGCATTCAAAAGATATGCTCATAAATAGTCATAAGACCTAGACAACGAGAAGAGAGCTCAAGGTGTGTCGCCCCACAGTCGTACAGTTCTCAATGTATGGCTATCCTGAACTTTCATGTCTTTTCTTGCTATCCAATTTGAACAGTCTGGATGTAGCTGGTGTCTTGACAACCGAACTTAACGACCTTCATGGGTTTTCCGTGTGCAAACTGAGCTCGGTCTCTGATCGCTGGAGTTTGGATCGTGGTCTAAACCCACTCTTAGCGCCTTAAACTCCAAACTCCTTGAAGCCCAACTCTCAGTCCGGCATCCTATTTGCTCAGCATTGCATGCTAAGCGCTACCAACCTGAGGTCCTTACCACTACATCCGTCTAAGGTTCGGAACCCTAAGATGGGCCTTTAACCCTGTGTATAATGTACAAAATTACATGCCCATTTTACATACACGTATCCTTCTATATACGCACAGACACACTACCCCTTCAGAGTGCTTAGGCCCCCACAGCAGGGCAAGCGCCCATACTAGCGCCAAGTGGCCGCGCAAACCCTAAGGCTTCCGTGAAACCTCCCAATCCTCACTCTTAATTTGCTATTCGACTGTTGTAGTGTTGTTATTGCTAAGTTAGTGCTAGTGCTATGGCTATTACGATTACATCCGGTTAAGGCTGCGCTGGAAGGGCGGCGAGCTTTGGGGACAGACGAGCGGTCCTTCGGTTTCGGGGGTACAGGCGGGGGCATTTGTCAGGGCAAAAGGCAAATAGAGTTTTCTGATAGGAACTTGTGGCATTGACATTCTAGGCAAGACATGCGCATTCTTAGTCCCCTAGCTTTGGGGGAAGATGACTCTGTTCATGTATTAGCACTGTTTGTCCAACTTTTGGGGGCCACAGGCATGAAGTCCAATGCCGGCCGCTTTGAGACTCTCGGCGAGATCCTGTGTAAATTGAAGTGAGAGATCAGGACCTGCTCTGGCAACAGAGCTACTGTCAATTTTGGCTTATTATTAAAGGATCCTTGACAGTAGACTCAGGGGTCTCTCTTTTAGTTTGTGTAGACCTTAGCAGCCTTAGTCTAGTCCTTAAGAAGGAAACCATGTCCATTAAATCATGTAGGAACTATTGATTGTAGCTCACATGAAAGCTTCGCAAAATCGGTCTTGAATAATTTTGCAGGCGGACCCCTAGAATCCCCTTGCGATACTCCCCATATCCGTGATCTTTTAGCATGGCTGACAGTCCCTTCCCGGAGACATCCAACATGCGTCTATTCCGACAATACGCCACGTATGAATACCATGGCATGCTAAGATGACAGATCAGGAAGGGTGATAGGAACGGTGGTTGCAAGACAGTCCATGACCATAAAATCTTCCCTGATCGACGAGCATCAGCTCATGCATGATGGAAGCCAAAACTACGCACAGTCATGATCGCACATGGATGCACATGGTGCACCTGGCTTCCGCACCGCCCAGGAAGTATGGTGAGATGTTCGAAGGCATGCCAGGAGCTGTGATCACATGCCTGCTGGACCGACGTGAGCCTCGGCGTCACACGATTAGCTTCTCGTCTTCGACACCTGACATTACAGGGTACTGGTGTGGACGCGTGTAGATGAGTCTAAACTCCAAAGCCTGAGCCCTAAGGCCCAACCCAAACAAGCCCACTTCAACCCAACGGCCGAACCTTCAAACCTGTTCAAGGATGCCAGCACAAAGAGCTGAGGCTACTGCCTAAATGGCAGAAATCTGGGCGTGGCTTTCCGACTGCCACCTTGGTTGGCGGAGGTCCCGCTGTAGCGCGGCAACGTTTTGGGCTGAGTGAGTTTGGGCTGCAGGCGCTTCTGGTTCAAGGGTCTGGCGCCTTGCAAAACTTAGCGCAGATTCGCCAGTGCTGTCAAGCATGCGGTTTAGGGTTTAGGTTTTAGGGTCCCCGGGCGCAGCCAAGGTATCCAGCCGTGTGTGGCCGGGAGGATTGGCAGGCACCTTGAGCTGGGGGTTCAGGGTTCAGAGCTTAGTGTAAGCTGAGGTTGCAGTGTTCAGGTCAAGTTTCAGGTTCTAGGTTGGCTCACAAGGGATTTGGGGTAAGCCGACCGCGGGTAAGGACTTGCGCTGTAGTTCCTTCCCTTAAGCCTTGAATCTTGACCCTGAACCCTCATACGGACTGCACCCTTTCCGCTCCAAACTCTGCCTAGATTCCGTTACCAAAGGCAAGTCGTACAGCCCCTAGTGGTCGCCGTTCGTCCCCAATGGTTACGACCAGTCTAGGACTCCACCATCCATATTAGTTAATCGAAATCGTTAATTCAGATATTTTAGTTGTGAAAACACGATTCCCGT